ATAAACCAAGAATTATCTTCAAATAAAACGTTATGTAAAAATATAATCATGGGGCTCTAATGCATGTTCATGTATTCTGAATCTCCATGTATTTGTAACAAGCTTTTGGTGCATTGCCAGTTAAGCATTATTTATTCAGAACGAATTCAGAATTTATTTCTTCAGAATTACCAATAAAATTGGACAATAAGGAAAATAAATTGCTGGATGTGGTAGCTCATGGCTGTAATCCCAACACTCAGGAGACTGAAACAAGAGAATTGCCATGTGTTTAAGACCAGTCTGGGATGCATAGTTAAGTTCCAGTCCAGCCTGGGCCATAGAGTAAAACTCTTATCTCAAATAATCAAAACAACAAAAAATAAGAAAAAAAAGAAAAATTACAATTTTTAAAAATAATAATAAAGGTTAACTTTACTACACTATCACCAGAGTACAAGTCACTATTCATTCAAATCATTTCATAGTTAATATATGAGGTGCTTGGGTGGTATGGTGATAATGATGACCCTTTATACTTTCTTGTCTTCAATAGGACAACTAAAAATGAGTTTTGCATTATATTACATTAACTCACCAGTTGGTACAGGCTTCAGATCAGCATCAAACACCAGCAAGTCTTGCTTTTCTTCACTGAACTCAACATGGAGAATATCACTAAGTGCTCCAACAAGCTCTGTCACATTTAAGAAGCCTAAGTTTTTTGGTGAAAGTTGCTCTTTAAAAATTACCTGTCATACACACACACACACACACAAAAGAAAATAATGAAAACATTGTACAAGAGAAACAGAACATAAAGAGATGCTCTTAGACAAGGCTTTAATTTGGATTTTGTCAAACTAAACATTTAAGGGTTAGTGAATTCAAGTAAAATAGCTTGTTTTGTTGGCCAGCCAGATTAGCCTAATAGTGAGCCCCAGGTCCCAGTGAGAGATGCTGTCTCAAAACACAAGTTGGAAGGCTCCTGGGGAATAATACTTGAAGATGATCTTTGACCTCCATCCACATGCATATTCACACATATGCACCCACACACATAAGCAAGCACACATATGTACATCTGAGAATGTGTACATGCACACATGTGCATATGTACAGTGTTCAAGTTCTTAAAATCAATTTTTTGTTTCCAGAACTAAAAAAAAAATAATTGAGCTAATCACAATTACTCTCTTCTTCCTAGATTCCATAAGAAATAAAGCTTTGCTTCTGACTTAAATGCTCTGGGGGTGGCCAAGAAGAACACAAAAGGCAAATGCTATAAAGGACTGGCCCTTGACAGCTATGGCACAGACCTTGTTCACATGATGCTCTGAGACTCCACTCAATTCTTTATGACTTCTCCCATGGAACACTTACTTGTAAGAGTAAGGTTGCAGAATCAGTCACATCATGGTTCAAAAGGTCACTCATACAATATTTATAGCCACCCATGAACATCCAAAAGGCAAAATAATTGATAAGAGCACACGGAAGGGGTGATAGAAAATTAGATTTGTTATCTCTACTTCTCTATATGTTACATATTAAAATTTCTTCTCTTTTTATGTTTGTCTCTACTTGTTTCTTTACCATATTTGTGTCTAGTACCATGAAAATGCAATTTAAAAACAAAACTAGGGTGGGGAAAATTAAAATATATAAATTAGCTATTTATTTATGTACTTATTTATAGAAAAGGTATCACCATGCAGCCCTAGCTAGCCAGGAACTCACTATATAGACTAGGCTGGCCTCTGTCTTTCAAGTGCTGGGATTATATAGGCATGTGTCACTATGATCAACATAAATTAGCAAATGTTTATTTTTGTTTTTTTGAGACAGAGTCTCCCTGCAGATCCAGCAGACCTAGAACTCACTATTGTAGACCACACTGGCCTCAGTCTCATAGAGATCCACTTGCCTTTGCCTCCTCAGTGCTGGGATTAAAGGTGTGTACCACATCAAGATGAATTAGCACTTTTTAAACAGCATATTAAAGACTGAAGTTTAGTGCTCAGTGTGCCTGTGGCTGCTAAAAACCACCCGTAACTCCAGGTCCAGGGGATCTGATGCCCTCTTCTGGCCTGCACCAGCATTGCATTCACGGGGTATGCTTACACACAAGCGGGCTAAACATTCAATAAATAAATAAATAAATAAATAAAATTTAAAAAAAGGTCCAAGAAATCATTCAGCAAAAACAAAGTCTCTTGGGTCTGGAGAAATGGCTTTGCCCTTAAGAGCACTCTCGTTCTTTCAAAGACCTTAAATTCAATGATTGGCAGCTCACAACTGCTTGTGACTCCAGCTCCAGGGGATTTGAAGCCCTCTTTTTACCTCTGGGGATACCTTCACACACATGCCACATACACAAAAAGAGTCATATATAAATAAAAATAGGGCTGGAGAAGTGGCTCAGCGGTTAAGAGCACTGACTGCTCTTGCAGAGGACCGGGGTTGCTCTTTCAGAGGATCCAGGTTCAATTCCCAGCATCCACATGGCAGCTACAAACTGTCCTTAACTCCAGTTCCAGGGGAATCTGAAGCCCTCTTCTGACCTCCGCCACATTGCACGACACGGGTGCACTCACATACATGCAGGCAATACACTCATACACATAAAATAAAAATAATACAATAAATAAATATATATATTTTTTAAAAAGCCAAAGTCTCACCCAGTGTGGTAGAGTACACCTTTAATTCCAGAGGCAGGCAGGTGGATCTCTCTAAGATCAAGGCCAGTCTGGTCTACATAGCAAGTTCTAGGCTAGCTGAGGCTACAGGGAAATCCTGTTTAAAAAAAAGAAAAACAAAAACAAAGCAAAAAGGAATTGTGAAAGAATAAATAAATTCTTAAAAGAATGAATTTTAAGCCATGTGTGGTGGTGCATGCCTTTAATCCCAGCACTTGAGAGGCAGAGGCAGGCAGATCTCTGTGAGCCTGGTCTACATAAGGCAGATCTCTGCGAGCCTGGTCTACATGCTTAGTTCCAGGTCAGCTGGGGCTACAGGGAGACCCTGTCTCAAAAAAGACAAAAAAATATTTATGTTGTAATAATTCATTTTGGGAAACACAAATTTGACTCTACAGGCATATATATACACATACATATATAAGAAAGAGTACATAAAATTAGGTGGGGGAGCAAGGGGATGCAGATAGAGGCTGAGTCTAATACGATCAAAATATACGAAATTCACAAGTTTAATTAAAATCTTTTAAAAATACAAAAAGATGAAGTCTATATCTTCATCCAGCAATCATCTCCCTGGAAGCAACAATTATTATCAGTTTTTTGTGTCACATTTCAGAAACTGTCAAAACTTCAACATGCTTTAGCATAATTATATATATATATATGTTTTTCAGTTTCCATAAAGAAATTCCACATTAATAACTAAAACACAGCTAATGATTAGCTGAGTCAATTCACTGATGTCAGATATATTTTGTCCTTATTTTCTTGGTATGCTTTCTGCTTCATTGGTTCTAACCTATGAGCCATGAAGAAACTGATCTTTCTCTATTCCCAGTGAGTTCCTTACTTCCTTTCAAGAACCCCAATCCAATTTTAGTTATATTGATTTCTTCCTTATAGTTTAGATTTATGCTTTCAAATATATATGCATATCCTATTACATTATTTTCCCCAGGTGACATACTGCAAACCCTACTTCCTACAAATTGGCAAGTTATTAGACTCATAGCTTTGACAAGTTTGTAGATGGATAACT